AGAATAATCAGATATATTAATTTTGTCCCCCAAAAGGGCTTCATTGTAACAAAAGATCAGCTTGCAGGGCTTGGCACTTGTCTGAGAAAGATGATTTTCATTCCTGCAGTAATTTTGTTACAAATTGCAGAGGTGAGAAAAATGACGAGTCTCAGTTCAAAAACAAAAGATTTTATTGGAGCTCAAGCATGAAAATGCCTTTGTTTTTCTTTCAGTCATTACTTTTGGACTCATTTCATTGCAGATGATATTGCTCACTTGAATTCAGGCAAGGTTGATAACAGATGTGAATTCACAAACAGGATATTCTTCAAAGACATCTTCAGGCCACGTGATTGATCTGTGCATCCTACAGGATACATGTTGTTGATCGATATTTGTGTCTTTGACCTCTTACTAGTTGGTAACATTTAAAAAAAAAACAAAGTGGAATAAATTATGGTTTCACTAAAGTTAAAAACAATAGCATACTTAAACTCTGCAGGATCAAGGAAATTCAACAGATTCCACAGCTCTTCAAGGTTGTTTTGAAGAGGTGTTCCTGTCAGTAGCAGGGTATAGTCTATTGAATAGGCACTGAGAATCTGGAAGAACTAAAAAGACCAATCAAAATAATATTAAATGACGGGAGTGTCTCTCACAAAGATATTAACCTTGGGTCTGTAGGAGAAATGTTACTGTGTTGCTATTTGTAAAAAGTATGCAGAAGTAATTGGCTGTGGGGCGGTTAATGATGCTCTTTAAGGTTGTTCTATTTAAGTATGTTAAGAAGTCCTCTTGCATTCCTGTACAAGTGACATTGTCTGTATTTTCATCATTTGGGATTATTGTTTTGCAAAATATCTACCAGTCCTTAACTTGGCTATAAGTGAAACTAACTTTGGACGTAACATAGAGAACACTGTTCATAGAGAAGAGAAAAGAACAGAAAACATGCCTTAAATCCTGCTAAAAATACCCTGGAACCAAGAAGGGGTGCACAGGGCTGTCTGCAAAAGCCAAGGACCATGGAATTCCCAGGCTCCTATGAAGGTGACTACTGGCTACTTTAAAAAAATAGAGAGGTAAAACCAAAAGAAATCCTTGGCTGTTTGAGTTCTGCCTACTTATTGTATTTACAGTAGTTGTGTTTAAGATTTCTGGGCTAACCTTGGACTGTTTATTCTTAAGCCTGTGAGCCTCATCCACCACTAATACAGCCCAGTCAATAGACTGCAGGGTTGTCATGTCAATTGACACCAGTTCATATGACGTCAACAGTGCTTGAAACTTTACAGGGTGATCTTTCTGCAAACCAGAACACTCAGTATTAACAATCTACTCTTCCTAGGCAAAAGAAAAAGTGTGAGAAGTACTAGTCCGAAAGCCAACTTTACATTTAAAAGGTGGAAACCAGGCTTGAGTTGACCTTGTTTTGATACAACCCTTCCTACTTTCTTATGTAAATTGTCTTGTTCTTATACTAACTACTATTTTTAAAGCAAAATCTACATTAGAAAAATTAATAAAGGAGGTTTGTATCAAACAAAGCCAACCCTAGCCTCATATTCACCTTAAGGCTGGGGTGTAATTCACAACAATAAAATAATAGTCTATTGTGTAAGAGAGAGTTGTCTTAAATCATACAATGGTTTGAGGTATTTTTGAATGTAACTTAAGTTGCATAAAAAGGCTAATTCAATTTGCAAACCAACTAGTAGGGAAATCTTGTGGGTTAAATGCTTTTTGGAAGAGGAACCATCATGCATAGCTAATGGTGAAGCCATGAGGAAAATCTCAATTTGAATCCTCCTCATACTTCTCTCAGCTTTTACAACAAAAGCACTTGTGTAATGAAGTGGTTGACTTGCGATGTACATGTAATGCATACTTTTTTAATACTAAATTCATTATACAATGATAAATACCATGTGGGTAATAACAGATTGGCCATCATCATATCTAAAACATCACAGACAATCCTGGTCATGTTAAAAGCAAACCTTTAATTTATGAGGTTTCAGTCCTTGTTTTACAGCATCTTCATCAAATGTAAAGTCATGATTCCTGAGGAAAAAGGTTTTTGAAAAAAGTTATTTGTTAAGGACAGTATAGTAGAAGCCTTTGTTAGTTGCTTATAATATTCTGAACAAGCCATCAATTAATTGATCAAACGATTGATCAATGGCACTGCAAGACTGTGCTTTAAGAGAAATAAGGGAGCGCAGAGCTCTAAACCTATAAAATCCAGGTGCCCAGTATATGACTTGTATGAAAAACTAAGATGTTCTAGTCACCCAACAGCAAAACTTATATAGGCACCAGGGGCCACGGGGCATTGCTTGAGCACAGTCTTGCACTGTCTATCAACTAATCATGTAGACTGCATAAAGGAAATACATCAGTGCCAATTATTTTACCTGATGGTTGCCCTGGCAGCTTTATCACCAGCATAAGTAACCACGTACATGTCAGGAGCCCAAAATTCAAATTCTCTTTCCCAGTTAATGATCGTAGACAGTGGGGCACTGACTAAAAATGGACCTGGTGAATGGCCCTAAAAACAACAGTTAACAGTATGAATATGTAAACAATGTTTGAAGCTAACTAATAACAACTTCCAGTTACATGTAAATAAACTGGTACTCATCATAAATAATCCGAAAACATACACACGTTAAAGAGGTCATAAAATCTCCTGGCTCAAACAAGAGCACAAAAAAACCAAGAGGTAGAGAGGCAGATGAGAGTCAGAAAAACACCTTGATTTCTTCCCTTTTAGAAACAGACTCTAAAAAGCCACGTATAAAATGCAATCAAAGGATACTACATGGGACCCTACCTTAAGCCCAATTTGTTTCCATCTTTATGTCTATGCATTAAAATTGCCAAAAATGGAGGATTGACCTAAGCGCTTGTTTTCTTTCTGCTTCTCGAATAAGCACCACACCGAAAATAATTTAATAAGTGCTGCGGTGCTAATTTGGGTATTTACAAATAAACGCCCAACCTTTGTTTTGGCGCTTGATATAAAGAGATATGAAAACCAAGTTGCTTGACAAATAAGACCACAACCAACTCGTGAGCTTCTCTCGTTTTAAGGTAGGGCAACTCTTGAAACCGGGTTTACATACCAGTTCGAGATGTACATATTTGTAAGGTTTGTTGCACAAGTTAGAGTTCTCTATATACTTCCCTCAGTGTTTTCCCCGCTATTGAAATAAGCGCCACTCTCGAATAAGCGCCACACCTTTTACACGGAAAATCAAATAAGCACCGTTACACCTAATCGATCATTCACTATAATTATCAATAAATGATAGACCTTAAAGCTAAATAACTGTCATACCTCCTTCCATAGTGAATACAAGAAGGCAATGGTTTGAATTGTCTTTCCAAGCCCCATTTCATCAGCCAAGATGGTGTTGGTACCCTGGGCCCAAGAGAAGCGTAACCAGTTCAATCCTTCCATCTGATACTCATGTAGCTTACCACCACCTGCTGTTATAAAGTCTGGTTGCTCCTCATATTTGTCACGTGGCTGTAAGGACAAACCAGAACTGTTTGTGAACAGTACCTTTGTTCTTACAAAACAGTTTAATAAATAATTTATATTATGACTCCAATGTCTCGCAATTTCCTGAAGAGACTTGAGCACTAAACCAAATAAAGAAAAATTACCAGAAAACCCAGGAGTCATATTAGAATTTTAATTTATTGAACATAGGCTATTGAGTCAGTGGTGCGACCTAAAGGTATTTTGTGACATATACAGTGAAAACAAGTTTAAACCAAGAGTAGTTTATGCAATTCAGGCATGCACCAGTGACTTGGATACAAGTATCTGTGCAGTTATCCCAGCATAATCACAAGAAAGATGGAAGGCATTATTTTTATGTATCAGTACCCAAGGTATGAGGGAGGGAGGAATCTGCTGACCAAATTCTGATTGGCTTAACTTTGTTGAATTACATATTCTAGATATCTGCTGGCTTATTCAAAAAATATTAACCGACTATTAGGTAGGCTGTGAACATTAGCATTTACTTGTTAAATGTATTCCTTTTAATGTAAAGATTAATGAAGGGCTTTTTGTCACTTAACAATTTTTTAAAAAAAAATGGGTACAGCAAGGGTTACTTTAATTATGTTTGTTTAAATGTCTGAGGTTACATTTAGCAATGGAAGGTTAACTTCATTCATTTTGAGTTATAAAAAATCATTCTACAAGGAAAATGAAAGTTAAAAATTTTAACATATTATTTGTGAAGTTAGTGAACAAGAGTACATTTTGCTTTTAACACAGATTGTTTAATATGACCAGATTTTGAGGCCAATTACTAACACAAGTAAAATTTTTATGTTACAATAAATGTACTTAAGCTTCTTACATCATTGACAGGTTTATCTGCATTATCAACCTTTGGAGATTCTGAATCTGAAATAGGATCTTCATCCTACACATGTCAATATAAACTTTTTATTAGGTTCAAAGATTATAGTTACAACAATGTAGTACAGTACATTATACACAATATTAACCAACATTACATTCTGGATGCCCTGGGAACACACAAGGAACCGAGGAAGACCAAGGACAAGTTGGAGAGTCAACTTGAATTGTTTCTTAAAATGCTGGCAATGTGTCGCCCAAAACATGGACCAGTGGAGGTCAGTGGGGAGGGCCTATGTCGAATGACGGACATTCCATAGCTGAAACTGAAACTGAACTGAAGACAAACACTGAGGTGGGGAGTTCAAAAGGATATCCTATCTTTGGAGGCTGAGTTAACCCCCAGCCCAAAAGATCAAAGATCTTCCTCAAAGATTAAGGGAAATGGCATGCAGAATTAAGTAGATATTTTTCTCAGAGAGTTTAAAACTGATCTAGGGTATATTTTGTTTCAAAAGCCTCTCTCACATAAAATTCAGAAACCAGAGGCGATCTATGTCAACAAAACCTCGACTGTATCAACCCCGTAACTTTATTGTTAGCTATTGCCATTAAGTGAATTACAAAGTTTGATCTGATTCAGATTCTCTGGATATCAGTAGAAATACGTTTCTAAAGAGTTTCCAACAAATTATATTATTTTCAAACGAATGGGCCAAAATGTCAATACAAAAATGAAGGCTATTATAACAACATTGCCTGGATACTTCTAAACATGTTTTGCTGGACAGGAATGATTCAGGCTAATTTGAAGTTTTCCATTATGTGAGGAGACATATAAATTACCAAAATCACTATACCATTGCTGTACTTTAGATGGTTTCATATTTGCAAATAACATGATCAAATCCCCATCAAATGGATGTTTAAAAGTTTATCTTTAGTGTTTAAGACATTGTTTTTTTTCTAATACAGCTGAGTTCAATATTATAGCAATATGAAAGTTCTGTTGAGCTTTTTTTTATTTTAAGTTCACTATTGAGTTTTTCATTGAATTAATAATCATTTTAGTACAGATTCTCTTTGGCAATAGTAGAAATGATTGTTACAATAATTCATTTTTAAGACCCACCATCATCCAATATTCTTGTGACAGTATGGATGTTGTTTGTTTCTTTGATTTTTATAACACATTGGACCTGATTGGTTTGTCCTCCGAGAAGGTGGGATTTTTATGTAATTTTGTGTTAATGTACCATGATGTGCAAGAAAGTTACATGACAGTGGGTTGAATCTGGTCCTGTATGATTTGAGAATAATGAAAATATACTGACAACTGCTGGCAATACTTACATCCCCAACAGGCACTGGCTTCTTCATTTTCTTTGGTTTGCTGGGCTTCTTTTTACTGCTTATCTTCTTTTCATAAGCATCTCTACAATACATTACACAGATTATTAAATTCAAAGCAAAATAAAGGTAAATAATTCAACTTAATGATTTTTCCCTGAAATATAAGGGTGTCAGTAAAAGCCAGTCAGGGTGGAGTCAGTCTCTTTTGCCCTTTTCTCCTTTATTATTTATGTTTTGGGTAGGGCCAAAATAGAAACAAAAAAAAAAAAAAAACAATACACCCTCACCCTGTTGGGGCATTTACTGACGCCTCAAATTTCAACAGTCTTGTGGTTTAGTCAAATATATTTGCCCCCACCACGTTTCTAGTTCCTAATGGTCCAAATCATAGGCGAGAGAAGTATACCAGGAAGTGTAGATGTTCTTAGAAAAACATAGGAGGTCTATTCTGTCATTAGAAAAGCAAATTTATAATACATGAAAGAAAGGTGAACCCTTTATTGTCCACAGTAAAATACTTCTGCTGGAAATGGTTCATGAACTTCATGAAAAAATTATTTCAACAAAGTGTGGCTTTGATAAACGACAACTACTCCCTCACCTGAGTTCCCTGTACTTTGCTATGTGGTCCTTGAAGTCACTTCAGAAAAATAAAACAATACATTCAAAAGTATGAATTAACTTTAAAGTACAATAAATTTATTTGGGTTTATCAAAACAATGTGCTACAACTTCTTACAGAAGGCACACTGTCAGAGACTCCACCTGTGCTGACAGAACAAAAATAACTAGCGGGAAATAAGCCATTTTAGAATTATAGATGGAAACAAGGCTTGAATTAACCTTATTTTGATACAACCTCTTCTGCATTCTTTTGTAAATGTTGTTCTAATGCTAACTAGTATTTTAGCTCATGGCGCAGAGATATTTGTCATCGCCTTCTCCCTCCGAAATTTTCAGAGGCAGAGAAGCGATAACCGGAAATATGTTTGCGCTTCGCGGGTAAACTAGTATTTTGCAAGCATAAGAAATCAAAGGAGGTTGGTAACCAAGCAAGGTCAACCTCAGCCTCACATTTAATTGAAGGCTAAGGTACTAAGCCCACAGCTGAGACCCTGTTGGAGTAAAATTCCAAAAAAGTTACATGGCCTTAACCCTTGAAGCCTTAATGTCCACATACAAATTCTCCAGACTGTTCTCTATACATTTTCTTAAGGAATTGATCGGAGAATTTGATACAAGATCAAAAGCATTTTCCCTTCGTGATCATTTTAACCAGTTCTCATAACTTTTTCCCTTGATTATGTACTGATTTTGTTTGGAGAAAATTGATGTTTATCACTCTTGGGACCCAAAGGGTTAAAAATACCAACATAAGACTAGATAAAAAGGCGACAAACGACTAGGGATGGGTTAAATATCCACAGGAACTTGACCTACTCCTCAAAAGACAAAAAACGATGGTATTTGAAATACAAACAACAGACATAACCACTAGCTCTTAAGCAGGCCTTACAATAATGTAAAATGGTCTTTTAGCCAACCTTATTTGAGAATTAACAGCATCATCTGGTCTTTCCCAGGTGCTCTGATTGTATGGAACATCTCGCCATTTAATAAGGAACTCTTCTTTTGACTGCTTGGGTACCCTGTGCAGATAAAAAAAAGAATGTGGTACATACACACTGTCAAATTAATGACACCACTGTGCATATTTTAACACTGTCTTTCTCGATTAGAAAATAGTGTAGACAAGTGTGACTTCACCTAAAATTTGAATTTGTGATCTATGAGACGGGTAAAAACAAGATGAAAACTGTCCATCTGGTTACAGAAATTGGTCTAAATAAATCCTTTTATTGACCTGTATGGTAAAATTTCAGAGGCAGCTTAATTTTAGAAGGATTCATATGGAGTTACCATAGCATAGTTTTGCTGGTATCTCACCACCAATTTTGCTCTTATAACTAACAGAAGTTTGGCTCATGGCCAGTTCTTACTACCAAATCCAGTAATTTCTTGAAACTAGTTTTATAATAATAATAATAATAATATTTAATACTTATATTGCGCTTTTTCTATAAAAATACTCAAAAGTGCATTACAATATTATTAATAACTAAATTAAAACCAGTAAAATTACCCGGTAAAATTACAATATTTAAAAAAATAAATAAATAAATAAATAATCTAACTAAAAGCCTTCTTAAATAAATATGTTTTAACAGAGCGTTAAAAGAGTCGATTGATGTTTCTTGTCTTATTGGCAGAGGAAGACTGTTCCATAAAAGGGGCAGCCATCGATAACGCCGCGATCTCCCAAAGTCTTCTTCGTTTAGCCGAGGTCTTTCTAACAATATACCATCATTGTTACGGGCGAGTTGGTAACGTGAGTCCGTAAGACAGAGACAAGATCCTTAAGATAGCTAGGGCGCAACACCGTGAAGAATCTTAAATGTAACAAGGAGAATCTAAAATCTCACGCCAAGTAAGCGCACTGGTAGCCAGTGGAGTTCTCTTTTAGCAAAGGAGTAACGGACAATACTTAGGTGCGCAGTAAACCAATCGAGCACTGGCATTCATGACTCTTTGAAGTTTTTAATTTGATACTCAGGAGCACCGTGCATAATAAACCATTACAGTAGTCAAGCCTGCTTGTGATGAACGCGTGAACAAGCCTCTCGTGGACTCACGAGACAAATACTTCCTAATGTGCTGATATTGTACAAATAATAAAACGCGCTAGCACAAGTCTTAGACACATGAGTCGGCATGTCCAGATG